CCTGCTGAATCCTTGTTTAATCATGAATGTATCAAATTTCATATTTCATTCTTGAAGATTGCCGAAGCCTATACAATGATTTCTTTAAAAGACATACCTTTCTTTCCGACCCTTTAATGCAGAAATCTTCTGATTGCTCCATGTGGTTTTTCACTTCTAAATTCCCATGAAGAAAGGTTGTTTTTACATCAAGTTGTTGTAGTTCTAGGTCCAGGAACACACAAATAACTAGCAACAATCTGATAGAAACATGTTTTACGACAGATAAATAAACTTCATGAAAATCAATGTCTTTTATCTGTGAGTATCCCTTAGCCACTAGTCTTGCTTTATATCTTGGTTTCTCAACCCCTGGTATACATGGTTTCCTCTTAAACACCTATTTGCAGCTTATAATTCTCTTGTTTTTGGGTATATTTACTAGGATCCAAGTATTATTGTACTTATCTCATCTTCCATTTCTTGAAGCCAGAAAATCTTATCTCGATTATGAGTTGCCTATAGATATGTTTTTGGTTCATATAGCTCAATCTCCTTTGCCATAGAACAAACAAATGCAACAGTGTCTTCTTCTCTAAACCTTGCTGGAGGTTTTGTCTGTCGCCTTACTATGTCTCGAGCCAATTGATAGTTGCTGAGATCAGTGGCTTGTGTGTCTTCTGGTTCTTGGTTCACTAGTTCATGTGAACCCTCTTATTCTTGGTCAGACTGTTGGTTTACTGATTCTTCTGAGTCTGTTCCAGACTTATCACTTTATGTTTATGAAATAACTCCACCTAAAACTGACAATCTATGTGTCTGTTCTGTAATCTATGATTTTCTGCCTTGATAAATCATTTCAGTCCTGTATGTTTCTGAAACTTTTGTAGCATGCTTGCTTTTCTTTCATGATTTGTTGACTAAGTCCTTGTATACCTTGGTCTTCTTAAAGATGACGTCCCTACTTATTAGGATTTTTCTTTCTTCTAAAAACCAAATCCTGTAACCCTTTATCCCTGATGGATAACCAATGAACACTGCCTTTTCGGCTCTAGGTATGTGTTTTCCTTGACTAGTGTGAATGTATGCTAGAGATCCAAATCTTACCAGATTCTCCAGAGTTACTTACCTTCCTTGCCATAGTTCCTCAGGTATTTTGAAGTCTATGGCACTAGAAGGGTCAGTTTATCAGATAGTTTGTTGTTGTAGCTGATTCTGCCCAAAATTCTTGCCTAAGACGTGAGTCACTTAGCATACTTCTCACTTTGTCCATTATGTTCATTATCTCAGCAACACCGTTTTGTTGTGACGTATATGTACATGTTCTGTGTCTGGCAATTCCATGTTCTTTGCAGAAGTTTTCGAATCTCTGATTGCAAAACTCTAATCCTTATCTGTTCGTAAATGCTTTATCTTCTTCTCATTTGAGCTTCAACCAGCTTCTTCCACTCGGTGAATTTCTGAAATGCCCTATCCTTTCTCATTAGCACATATATCCACACTTTCCTAGTGTAGTCATCGATGAAAGACACAAAGTATTGTGTTCCACCTAGCGACTGAGGTATTGATGGAGATCCCCAGATGTCGGAGTGGATATAGTCCAACACATTTTTGGATGTGTGTCTGCCTTTTGAGAAACTTGCCGTGTGAGCTTTCCCGAGTATGCAGTCTTCACAGAAATCAACATTTCCTATATTTTGTTTCCAAAAACTCCTTGCTGAGCTAAAAATTTCAGACCCTGATTGCTCATGTGTCCTAATCTGGGATGCCATATCATTTCTTCAGTTTATGGTTCAACAACTTGTCCCCTGTCAAAATCTGTTCTGAACCTCTGTATACTCTAAGTTGTGTAGAAATTTGCGGAATGATATATTTTATTGATAATCAAAATAACATATAAATAGATGATAGTCTTACATTGAATAAGTAAAGTAGATATAATAATAAATATTTTTAAATATATATTTTCCGGATTTGATAAGATCTCCATTATACGATATATCTTGTAATATTCTTCAAGATCCAGTATATCTCAACATCCCCCTTCAAGTTGGAGCATGGAAGATCACGCAACGCCCAACTTGCTGAAAAGATGATCAAACGTATGCTGCTTGAACTACATCACCTTACGAACTTGTGTCAATAGAAGACATAACTAAAAAAATCAAACAAACGACTGCGCTGCAACTTTGGCACCAAGCGCAAAAGAATCGTTTGATGATAACAAAAAAAGGACGACAATTGCGCTGCAGAAAGAAGTCTCGGAAATAACTCTGATTCATCCGAGATTGAAAGACAACTACGTGGAAGCGTTTAATGACAACAAATTTTTTGGCAAGAATAAGATGATTGGCGGTTATGCGAATAATCTTTACAAACATGTGAGATTATGAGAGAAAATAAAATAAAAAAATAAAATAAAATGACTCTCTTATTTAAAAAAAAAACTCAAAATAATATTACCACTGAATCAATATATCATCATCTTCGTCTTCACTCTCATTATCGATCATCATTTTTATGAAAAGAATAACAAATTAGAAAAGAACCAGAAGCTCTGATACCATGTAGAAATTTGCAGAACGATATATTTTAGTGATAATCAAAATAACATATAAATAGATGAGAGTCTTACATTGAATAAGTAAAGTAAATATAATAATAAATATTTCTAAATATATATTTTTCGGATTTGATAAGATCTTCATTATACGATATATCTTGTAATATTATTCAAGATCCGGTATATCTCAATAAGTTGTCCTTCCTGTGAGTGAAGGCTAAGTCCCTCCTTATCGAGAACTCCAAAAGATATCATATTCCTTGTGAATCAGGAATATATCTAACCTTACTCACAATCTTGATTGATCAATCCTTTAGTTTCAACTTAACCTCACCCATTCCTTTAATTTGACAAGTTCCACTGTATCCCATCATCA